CCCCCCACATGTGAGTATTTGTCAACTTTTTTGTACAACTTTTTTTGTACAAGTAGCAAGGTTCAAAGTACCCAGTTGTTATATGATTACTGATCGAGTACGATTCTCGAGGGTACGAAAAATTAGAATGTGACAACTCTAGTTGATTAGTCCCCACAACATGCATTGAATTTTAGTGCGGAAAGTCCCATGTATTTAGCTACTTCTCATCTATTTATGCACTATTTGTCAATTAATCCCCACGCGAACATGCATGCATTGTACCACGATGCAAAAATGAAATATGTCATCTTATTTTATTAATTGAGGTACAAGTTGTTGGACCTAAGACTGAGGAATAAATCGAAACAGAATTACACCAAGTCATGAATGAATTCGGGTTCGGGCACACTATAGGAAAAATAAAAACAATGATTTCACAGTTTGGAGAAATTATTATTTCTCTGTTTTTTAGCTCTTCTTTTTACGTTTTTCCTTTTTTTTTTTTTTTGAAATAGAACTACGAGTTATATGTAAAAGAATTACTAATTTTTAATTTAATCACATGATAAGTAGGTTTTACATTTTTATCTAGCTCATAAAGCTATGCTTAATTGGGATTAATTGATTGAATTTTTACTCACTTTGTGTTGTATTTTACCTTCGTATGATAAATCGTCAATTTAAACGTGAACAAAGCAAAAGAAAGTGAATTTCAATAATTTGACAAAAAGAAGGTGTTAGATGAAGTCCGAAAACTTTGGATGAAATTGGAGGTTAATTGGAATAATTTATATAGTGTAGGAACCAAAATGAAAGATTAGAAGAGTTGAAGGATAAAAATTTAAGAAATCGAAAGTACATGACAACAAGTACAATTTAAGGAATATCTAACCAGGCACGTAAACGCTAAGCACAAAAGAAAACAAATTAAATGGGGTAGCGCGAATCATACATAAATTCTTAGAGCAAAATACAAGAATTCCTTTCAAATATTCAGGTTACTTGGAAATCAATTGGATGAAATTAGAGGTTAATTGGAAGAATTTATAAGTGTAGGAACCAAAATGTAAGATTAGAAAAGTTGAAGGATAAAAATTTAAGAAAACAGAAGCGTGGGGACAAGAAGTGCAATTTTGGAAAAATCTGAAAAAGCACGTACGCCAAGCACAATAGAAAAATAAATTAATAATTAATTAATTGGGAATGCGCGAATCATACATCAAATTTGATTAGAGTACTTATAATATGATTCACATCAGATCTAGTATACGTAGCAGAACCTACAACATTAGCATAAGATACATTTTTCAGATATCTAATATCTATCTATAAGTGACAAAGTAATAGAATTAGATCATGCATAGCAAATTTTGATCACTTTTTCAATAAAAAGAAGTTTGTTTCAAAATTAGTACATTTTTCAATCAATTTCTTAAAATGTTAATTCCTAAAATTCTTCTAGCATGTCCCATATCTTTCATTTCAAATTCAGCGTTAAGAGGTACTTATTTTGTTTTTTTATACATGTCCTTGATCAATTAAAAAACTTGTCATCAATATATAACAAAAAATAAACAATCACACATCTTTATTTATATTTCTTAATATATAAGCAATTATCAAAAGCTTTTAGTCATCAACTAAAGACTTGACCTTTTGGTCTTGGAAGTAATAACCAATTCTTATATTTATTCATTGAATCCATTTCTTCTAACATGGCAGCTTGTCATCTCTTTGATAACTGACTGCTAGCAGTTTAAAAACTATATCTTGATAGAATGGAACAGTAAGAGAGATAATTTCTATATCTAAATGGCTCTCTATTATCTCTAGTTAATTGTTAAATCTCCCAAATCAGATTGGTCTTCTCCTCTTCTACCTAAGACTGAGTACTACTTTCTCCTAATTCCCTATGATTTCATTAATAAAGTGGTTTGAGGACTTAAGCCCCACTTGCAGCTTAGTCCTATTTCCCTCTTCTAATTCAGAGGCATTCTCTGATTTCTTCTCACTCAAACAGGGCACGTCTGACTCATTGCAAATCGTATCTCCACTTGTAATTATTTTAAAACCTCTTAAGACTTCTAGCAAAGCGTGTACATCTTAACCCCTTCAGGATAACTTAAAAATACAAAATTTTGAGATCTTAGCTCTAATTTTTCTTTTGATGAGAATAGACTGTACATCTGTAACACCCCGAAAATTTTAGAATAAAATTATTTGTTTT